GAGTCACAAATTAATGTTGTGCTAATCTTCATAAAGATATTGACAGAGTTCTCTATATATTCAAGCGATTTCCATTGCTGTCTCAACTCTGATAATATCATATATGAATTCTGTTAGGTCATTACTATTTTGGCCTGTAGCGTAAAGTGTTTTTCATTTGGTTTCGTGAGATAACATATACGTTGACCATGTTTTTCCTGTCGATCATCAGATAGTAAAATTACCATTTTTATTTAAACAAATTTAGAAGCACAAAACCCAGTACTTCTTCGAGATCTGCATGCAGTTCTTTTCTCGATTTTCTCTTTTGCAATTATCGCTTGCTAGCTTTTGTTTATGTTTCGAAAATAAATAATAATAAACACGAAATGTTACTCTTTGTATCCCTTTTAGTGATCTATGACAGGAGATGGTTGCACCTGTCATTAAAAGGATTGCAAATGGATATTTGTAAAAAGTTTGTCGGATAAAATGGCGAATGTCAATGGTCGAACAGCGATTGCACGACCGAAAGTAACCATGGGTTATTTTTCTAGCTGAAAGGCAATAACAACTTATTTGTACTGTAAGATAGTCTGTGGTAAACATTGGTTTTGTTTAGTCTCCATATCTATGCAAGGTGAATCCAATAAGTGAAATTTTGTTTTTAAAAACAGTCCCTTTCGGTCGTGCAATCTCCCTTCGACAATCGCCGTTCGCCGTTCTCCCCGACAACATTTTTTGAAATATCTGTATAAAAAAATCTACAACGAGACCGCATTGAATGCTGGTTGGTGATGCTCCTTTAATCAATTAAAAAAAAACTACGTACCCTTGCTATGATGACAACAAGGAATTTACACATAATATTTTTATTATTTTGTTTGTTAAAAGACTGTGCAGAAGCATTTATCAGTTTTAAGCATATTAAAGGTCAATGGTCCACCAGCATCCCTTTCGAGCCTTTGCTCGAGAAAAAAACAAAAATACATCGTAATATAAGCAAAAACTTACTCTTTATTTTCCTTTTATACTTTATGAATGGAATATTGTAAGATTCGACCTTTAAACCGATTGATGGAAACGGATTGCGCTATTGCGAATGGATATTTGAAGTCACCTCATTTTCCATAAATAAAAAATCTAAAACACGATAGCATTGAATGCTGGTGGATCATGGCCCTTTAAAAACAACCTCTGAACAAATCTAAGCCAGACTTGAATTTTCACCAACAGGTAGACCACACGCCGCAAGATATCGTCGACAACTACACCCTGTACTTCCTTCCAACAACAGTTCTTCCTCGAATGAACAAGAATCTTCTTGTCCGCCAAACTTGTCTTGTAGGAATAAGTGTTCAAATCCACGACTCTTTTTACAAACCAATAAAATATCTTGCTTCTGTGACAAGGACTGTAATTTCTTCAAAGACTGCTGTGCAGATTATAGTCACTACTGCACGCCAAGAAATCGGTCACAGCAAATTCTCAACCAAGAGGGCTTGGTAACTAGCCAAAATAAGTACCTCTGGGGTTGCTATGACGGAGAGCCTATTAAAGAGTCAAGTGGATTTTGGATGATTGGATCTTGTCCGAGAACTTGGCCATATGATGACGTCTTTTATAAGTGTAGAAACCTTTCCTCTGTTAATAGGATTACAAAAGATAACTACCATTATCTACCTGTATATACCAGCAAAGGTACAGTGTACCACAATCAATTTTGTGCACAGTGTAACGGAGTCAAATCCAAAGATCTCAAGAATTATACGCTATCGATCCAATGCTCTGTAATCCCACCAGAATCTTTAAATCGAGAAAAACAAATTGATTTTTTATTTAAACATTGCCAACCCAATAAAATTAATTGGGCGCCAACTACTGGGGGGGCTAGACGGTTCTGTGTTACAATCACAGACTTCAGCTTCAGCTGCAAACGAGATGTTGATGGGAAATGCTCAAACGGACCAGTTGGCATAGTTTCTGTTATGAGTAGGAAGAGCAACTACAAAAACAAGCACTGTGCGGAGCTGTGTGATGGCTCAGGAAGGTATGACTGTGGACCCAATGAATTTAAAAGTACTGGGAGCTTTCTTCCCGATACAAAACCATTTTCCTTTATCTTTGATTTTACTGGGTCTACTGATCGCACAAAGACAAAAACATTTAAAGTCACGTGCCCGTTTAATAAGCCTCTTTATGATCCTTACCTACAAATTTGTCGTAAAGGTCGAGCTTCAATACCTCAAGCACCGCAAAACACTTCTAGAGAGCAATTGTACGAGGTTGTTTTATGGTTGCAGCCAGTAAAGCCTCTTGACTTTCGCACAAGAATGGCATTTCGTGACGTTCCAATTGACTCAAAAAATGCGGAGAAAATACTGAAAATCAACCACCAACAATTGAGCAATTGCCGAATGTTCAGCAAATCGTCTACTATATTTACGTTAAAAGTAAATCTTAACGTTTCGTTKGAGAARGAGGARGGAAATATTACAAGACTTCGTAGGTCGCTTGCATCAACTAAAGATCAATACATTCAMCGAATTTTAAACTTTCAGAACCCTTTTGAAGTGTCAATCATAATATCAAACTTTACAGTGTTCAAAGTAACTTCGAGGATCCTCGGATGTGTCAATTTGCAGATKTACAATCGTCATGAGTACACGGTAYYATCTAAAGACAGTCCAGCGGTTGTTATCATCAAGACAAACGAGCAGCTAAAAGCCAATGARTTTTACACGWTRAACGACACRTYAGCCAATGACAGCCAAKCTATYTATATCTGCCGTAATYATCAGCGACCACAATGCTCTGCGAAGTGGRTRTTRATGAACGAAGGCGAATTTGTTGTCYTAGAAAACAAAAGCGTTTATGTAAACTCTTCCAAACACATTTTCGACTTGCAAAMCTACATTTGGGCAAATCATAGTGTCTTCGTTTGCGAGAATTTTTCTAGAAGTYACMAAGAAAGAAGAAAACAGAAAATCTTTGATAAMCGTTTAGCAMTAATTCTGACCATAGTATGCATGTCAATATCGATTATTKCRCTKSTCTTTGTCCTCGTCACCTATTCCTTGTTCRSCGAGCTAMGAACACCACCAGGTATTAATATTATGAACCTCTGYGTTGCCATGTTGCTTGCAAAATTCTTGTGGCTCTTCGGWAGCGGACAGACAGACAAACCTATGAYTTGCACTGTTTTCGCTATCCTTGTTCACTACCTTTTTGTGGTTTCKTTCGTSTGGACGTCCATCATCGCCTTTGACACTTGGAGGGCCTTCACTGCTAAAGGCAGACGTTYCWTGGCTGACTCGAAGCCCAAAAGACTGCTGCATAGCTTACGATATATGGCTGTTGGRTGGCTGTCTGTCATGGTGTACGTKKCAATCTGTGTTGCTCTTGACCTGACCAATACAGTAACCATTGGGTACMAATCTMGCAAGGCATGTTTTATTGGCAATACAAAGGGTATTTTATACGCATTTTATATTCCTATGGCAATAGTCATCATGTTCAACGCTATCTTCTTTATAATGACATTAAAAGCAATCAAACAAACTACAGCTCAAGCACGAGCCGCTACGGATCACAACAGCCGTAAGCAGTCCTTTGGCGTGTACGTGCGTATGGCATCASTCATGGGTTTTACGTGGATTTTAGGATTYWTTGCTCCKTTTGKACCGCTTTTCATTTGGTATTTGTTCATTGTTATGACTGGTTTAGAAGGTCTCTACATCGCATTGGCGTTTGGTCTCAATCAAAGAGCTCGCAATTTATACAAGAATCGCTTTCCTGTGCTTGCTCGAAATAGTAACACCATTGGTACTGACACCACCAAGAGTACCTCAAAGTTTGAAAAGCTTGGTGAAAAGCGTGAATTTGAAGAAACAAAACTCTAAACTCATCGTTTGGTCTGGAATTACTCGGTACTTGATTTGGTTGTGTGTTTGGCGAACTTGTAGTTCGGTTGTGTACTCTCGTTTAAAATCTTCCGAGTCGACAGAACAAAAGCAACCTCTCCATGCTGCATGAATGGACAGAACTCTGTCATCATTTCCAACATGGCGTCTATGACGTCACGTAACAAAAAAAATAATAGAATGATGGATTTTAGAATTTTTCCTGCATTTTTGAAATCGAAAGTATTTTTTAATGGAGTAAAATKATATATTAC